CAACCGTATGTGGAAGCATATAAATTACTTTGAAAGATTGGCTGACCTTATATTATCAAATTCGAATTCCAATTTCTCGTGCATAATTAATATTCGTACTATCACTACTCCAAAGGCACCGAAAATAGTATGCGACTTTCAAATCCACGTGTCGCATGTTTCTTAGGAATGGAATCTTAGTTTTGTGGTAAATAGACAAAAAGAAGTACAATATAAATATTCTTTTTAATATTTATACTCTGTTTTTAAAAGAATTGCAAATAAGTTCAATTTTGTGGATAAAATGGAATATATAACATAAAAAAAAAGTTCGCGATTGTCCTTTGAGTTGAGAATATATTATTTGGAGACTCATCGCATTGTGAAAGGAGCAGTACTAATGTATTTGATCCAAAACTGTTTACTTCTTTTTACCACTATAATTTTGATCAGTGTTTATAGCTCCCGACAACTAAACTGGGATAAACTAATTTTTACGCCATGAGATTCCATAAATTTCATTACCAAATCATTCATATATATATTTGACCAGAAACTAAAATAAAATAAAAAAATCTAACTGAGGCTATTTGTAATAGCAACATAAATGAATTATATAGGACATCGAATTTACAGTTTCTTCTTAGCAAAAATATCAGCACATTTATTAGAAAATGTGCGGTTCCTATAAGAAAATGTTATCATAGTTTAACATTTTCTTTCGTTCGCCGTTTCTAACGCTCTTTCCTATCATTTATATTTATATGTACGAGAAAAGGTCGAGACCGATGGTGATAAGATTCATCGAATCTTAAAATGGTGCATGGTTAGAATTTTATTAGTTTTTCTTTGTTAGAGTTTATATCCTGCGATATTGAAATTTTGTCGACCCTTTAATACATTCACACTTACAAATTTATCCAGGAGATGGAAGCGTTTAAAAATATAAAACTTCTAAAATTCCAAGAAGTGGGAGGATTTTAGTGTGAAATCAACTAAAACTCGTTTAATGTTAATAACTAAAGCAAAAACACACACAAAGACTCATTAAAGCAAAAAAGTTGAACTTTTATTCCGTTTTATCGATGGATCACATCATAAAATTTATGAATTGTCGTATCCGATTAGACAAATAGATACCACAATTCGGTCAGACCAAAATATGATAAGATTTGTTGGAACGTTACTAGAGACGCTTCTTTTTTAGGGTCAGCTCCTAGAGACTCATTTAGAGAATCTCTATAGGTAAACCGACGTTACCAAGGTAATCGAAATCAACCAAAATTATCGAAATGGACCGAAATCATTGAGCGATCGAATCATATCACCTCCGAACCATTTAATTTGGTTAAATGAAGCATCAATTTCTCCAAACCGAAAAACCCGAAGTTCAAACCGAACCGAATCCAAGTTTTCGGTTCAAGCTAAAGTTAGTTACCAACAGCTTCGACCAACCCCAAGATGCTTTACCGATCATCGGTCACATTCACTTTCTTGGTCCCATTGCTTCAAATCGTTCATCGGTCACATCCATTTTCTTTGACTAATGCAATATGTTTTTGAAAACCGGATCGGATTAGGCGATCAGACCGATCCGAGTGGAAATCGTTTATGAAACCGAATCCGAGTTAACCTAAAAATCGGAATTGAATTAAAGCACAAGGCTGCAATCAAGACTTGACTTGCAAGGACTCACGAAAAGGCTAAAAAATGCTGAGACAAATACGATGTGATCAAAGAAAGGGACGAGCTAACACATTTTATAAAAAACCAAACCATGATGAGTATCACATACTATTAAATATATGTTTCAAAAATAGAGACAAAGATTGCCTCATAACTAACTGACAATCCAAAACAAAATTAGGCTAGGTATAGTTTTAAAGAAGACCTTCACCCACAAAAGCATGCAAAGCAGTCATAGCCACCTCCACGCCCTCCTCCTGCTTTTCCCCTCCAAGAAGAAGATTGAGAAAACCCTCAACAACGGTATCCGTACAAGCATCAGGTTTCATCAGCTCTTGGCAAGGCACTAATGCTATCGTATACCCTGCGACAACCATTTGGAAAAGACCGAGCCTATCAGATGCGCTCAAAAAAACTCCCATACCGAGCCACAAACTGCGCCGTGAGCTTAAAAATAGCAAGCTCCTTGGGCGTGATCCCTTCAGGATACTTCAATGGAAACCTGAGATTATCAGGAATGGGGTCATTGTATGGATCGATAGGAGGCTGCATTTTTGTTGAAAAGTGTTGAGGTGGTGGATGCAACTCTTGATCCTCCCTGCCTCCAAAATAGTCAAGACCACCGACAAAAACATGCATCTCCACTCTCTCCTCCTCGTGCAGTTTTTCTCCAACAAGATTGAAAAAACTCTCAAGAATGACACCGGGCCTCTTCATCGTACTGTAGTAAGGCTTTACTACTCTGGAGTATGCATCAATAAGACGGATGAAAAGGCTGAAGCTGCTATCAGCTGACTCCATGAACGCAAACAGAGGGTCCTTCATCACTCTGTTCATCAAATCACGCCAGAAACGCATCCCGTACCGCACCACAAACTGCGCTGTGAGCTTAATGATATCAAGCTCCTTGAGCCTGAAGAATAGGCAAGTACGAGGCTCCAGAGGTCGACCATCCCAGTTTGATAGCTGGAGCATCATCAGGGTGGATATCTTGTCTCTGAGCATTTCGGTATTCGGAAATCTTGTGCTGGTAAAAGGCGTGAAAAGGGTCTGAGCTCCTCAAAAAAGAGAACATGGTACCAACCACGTTATTCCCGTAATTGGCCATATGATCCTGCTCTCAATCCACAGCCCACATTTGGAAACCAGAGATGCCGTATACTCGATCTTAATCCTTGTTTCTGGGGATGGCTCAATGATTGCAACACTCGCCGGAGCTTGATTCGATTTGCTTCCCAGCGTTGGACTGGACATTGCTTTTTCTACAAGCAAACACGTTAAATTCAGAAGACCTAAACTGTTGGGTTGAAAAATCGCCCCAACAAACTATAAAATCTACTGAAATAAGCGGAGATCAATTCCATGAATATTTCCATAGGAGCAGAAAGCAGAAAGGAATAAAACAAAAGGAATCGGAGAGAGACCGTACCTCAGCCGGCGGGTAGCTGAGAACAAAGCGACTTGGGAACGAAGAAATCCTCCAAAGCCCTAGGCTATTTTATTATACGAACGAAATTCTTTTATCAATTGGGCTTTTTAGGTCCATAGAAGCCCGACTTAATTTCATATGTATATTTTTTTTTATAATTTTCCAAAATGCTCTTCGTCTTAATTTCCGCTGTTGTTATGTAACACAGTAGAATCTTCACTGGCACTCGTAAGCATTTCATTCAATAGATATAGGTCGGTCAAAGATGTCCAGGTAACAAATTCTCTTGTGTCACCTATATCACAATGTTTCACAGAATTTTGAAAGAGATGCACTTGCAGTCCATTATTATATAACATGATACTTGTGGTGATACCAATTACTTAATCATTAACATCACCCATATAAGAAATATGGGGAATTTAGATATTAATTTACACACATTAACCAATTTATATATTTAGAAGATAGAAATCTATATTTGATTAAATAATTCCATCAGCTCAGTTAATGTATAACAAGATAAGGAGAAGCATCATAAACAGTTTTCAGCAAACACAAACAGTCTTGACAACAAGATAAAAATAGAATAGATACCATAGTTTCTTCACATGTAGATATGATTAATACACTCTTTGAGACACTCTCAAAGATAAATACTAATCCCTTGCAGGACGATGCCTCCAGCGGTAGATCTTTGATTCGACCGGAATCACCCATTAGTCATTAAACTGGCGCATGTTGTTCAATAAAATCATTAACATAAATATTGCAGTTTTGGATGCTTTGGTTCGCACATAAGTCATATCGTAGAACCTTCCAAGTGTTGCACCAAGTTCCCCCTTAACAGAATCCCAAAGCGTCTCACACATGTCCACTGTGGGAAAAGAATCAAATAGTTTATTCAATGCTTCATTTAGAATCATTAGAGGGGAAACGAGACTAGTACTTCAAGGATTGGTGTTACAGCAGACGATGACAGCTACCCATCGTGAAAGTCGAATGATGTGTTGCATGACCACAACAAAATATGAGATAATATGCTTGAAAAAAAAATCAAATATATAAGTAGGGAAGTGTGAATATTCATACCTTATCAATTACAAAGCTTAGAAAAGGGTTATCGTTGAAAAAATCATTTACTGATGTTACTCAAATTTGGGTATTATAAGCAAGCTGCCAGATGATGATGATTTGGTCTGGTATCACATATTCAAAGTTAAGGTCCTGAAGACTAGTAGCCATCAGATGCAAATCGATTTGTACAATAGTAGCACATTAGTAGTGACATGATAGTTAAGAATACTCATCGGATTAATATTACAAAGCCCATAAAAATATATTATTGGGCTTGGAAAAAACCCATGTTGTATATCTTTTAACTTTAAACCACGGTACAGTAGTACATGATGAAATACATACTATACAATATCTAGTGGAACAAAAAAAAAAGGTTTTATACATAGGTTAAGGAGGAAGAAAAAATAACAGAAATCTTGTAAAAACTAAGAAGAGGATTTTTGTTTTTTGGGGTCAACTCGTAAGAGACTCATTTAGAGAATCTCTTTAGGTAAACCGACATTACGAAGGTAACCGAAATCAACAAAAATTATCGAAATAACCTCCGAACCATTTAATTTGATTTAATTATACACCATTTTCTCCAAACCGAAAAACCCGAAGTTCAAACCGAACCGAATCCAATTTTTAAAATGCCCCCATCCGCGATTTATTGGTCTAATTTTGTAGAATTTTAGAGGGAACCCACCCAATTTCGGTTACGCGAATAATAAGATCTAGAAATGGCGCAAATAGTATGTTGATTTTACAGGCAATTGCTACTGTATCAAAGAGAATCCAAACTTTTAATCTGTTCTTCAAAACTTATTCCATGGCTTTATCTGTTATGCGTGAGGTGAAGCTTGCGCTAATTTCAGTCACTTGAAGCTGTAAAGGAAGGATCTTGGGAATGTTATCTCAATCTTGGCTTCGCATAATTAGATTGCGAGTGGATACGACTGTCAGTTTATAGATTTTGATTAAACAAATCAAACGTGGAAATTAAAAAAAAAACACAAATACAATAGAAGAATTAGTTTTTACTCAATCTTCCAATGGAAGAGGAGAGTAAAAGCAATCGAATCAAAGAAGCAACGCAAAGAGCAAAAGGTCCAGGCTTTTTGAGGTAATTCGTTGACTTTTTTCTCTTTTTTTCTGCTTGAATCGTGTTCTCTGTGTTCTGTGGGAATTGAAACCGCTTCTATGTTTCCAATTTTGAAATTTGAGCACATAAAAATGTATTGATCTGACGTTACATTCTGAAAACAGTTTTCAGAATGGGATTGTCGTTGAGATTGTGGCTTTCGAGTGTACTCGTCCTTACACAGCTTGTTCATGGAGCTCTATGTTGGGGAAAGGATGGTCATTACACTGTCTGCAAAATAGCCGAAGTGAGTTTATTAATCAGTTTCTGAAATGATATTACATATGTGAGGAGCTACAGAACTAGGAGCTCTTGTTAGGAATTAGGATGGGATAAATATATAGGTTTGGTATTGAGTTTTTGGGATTGGATCTTTCTTCAGTTTTTCGATTTACTAATCCACAGGGATACTTTGAGGAGGAAACAGTAGCTGCAGTGAAGAAACTTCTGCCTGAAACAGCTGAAGGAGATCTTGCATCTGTTTGCTCATGGCCTGATGAAATTAAACGCTTCTCAGAATGGCAATGGACTAGCTCTATGCACTATATCAACACACCTGAATACAGATGCAACTACGAATATTGTCGTGGGTTTCTCTTTTACCTCTCCAACTCCACACATTGTCTTCTGTTTCCATTGTATATGCATTACCTGAGTTCAAATTCTGTGCCCTGTGAAGGGGACTGCCACGACACTCATGGGCATAAGGACTGGTGTGTGACGGGAGCAATCTTCAATTACACAAAGCAACTAATGTCTGCTTCTGTAAACTCACAGAGTATTGTCCATTGTGAGTTAGGTTTTTAGTGTTATGTTTCAGTTTACTAATTTGTGTGTGTGTGTGTTACATGGAGCAGAGTGTGACAAGTCTTTGTTTGTTTGTTTGCAGATAACTTGACAGAGGCTCTCATGTTCTTATCACATTACATGGGAGATGTTCATCAGGTTGATCTCTTTTGCAATATTCAGGCGAATCATATTAGAGTATGGCTGATACTTATGTGGATTCTTGATTCTCACAGCCCTTGCATACTGGTTTTCTTGGAGACTTAGGTGGTAACACGATCATAGTCCACTGGTACCAACGCAAAACAAATCTGCACCATGTAAGTGCTTTGTTTTCGATCATACCGATGCTAAAAAGTATCACTCCTGACTTGGAACTGGAACTGTGTATTTAACCTTGAAGGTATGGGATAACATGATAATTGAATCCGCTCTTGAAACATACTACAACTCAAGTCTCCCACTCATGATTCAAGCCCTTCAAGCCAAACTCACGGTAAGATCTTACTTTCTTTATCCAACTTTAGCACACTGAAACCATATGATAATATGTAATTACTGCTGTCTTCATATAGAACGGCTGGTCAAATGATGTTCCATTGTGGGAATCATGTCAACTTAACCAAACAGCCTGTCCAAATCGGTAAGCAGTCTTTATAAGAAACTTTCCTTTGCAACAAGAAGAGAGAACATTGTGAATAGCAGAGAAATCTGGTTTCAGTTATGATACCATTGTTGATACAGTATGGTTCTTTCATATGTTATAAGGTACGCTTCTGAAAGCATAGATCTTGCCTGCAAGTATGCTTATAGGAATGCCACACCAGGAACTACTTTAGGAGGTATAAGCATTCACTCTCTGAAGCAAGATCCTCTTAGCTCTCTAACAATGCAACAATGTCTTTTTGAATCTTCTGATTTCTCTCACGTTTCTTTCTGCAGATGACTATTTCCTCTCTCGGCTACCCATTGTAGAGAAAAGACTTGCGCAAGGAGGGATTCGCTTAGCGGCAACTCTTAACCGTATCTTTTCTGCAAAACCAAAGCTTTCTAGACTCTAGAGCATGAAACTAATGATAACAAAGTTCCTGCTATTGTTCTTTTCTTCTTAGGAAGGCCCTTCTCTATAATGGAACTTGTCTTTGATTTATTCAATGCTTACATCTTTTACATTTGATGATATGAAATTATGAATCAATGTGAGGTTATTCCTCTAAGGTCTCTCTTGTTTAAGTTTTTTTGTTTGTTTCCATTCTCAAGTTCAACCTTAAACGTTCACCAAACGAAATTAAGACGCATGTTTTAAGCATTGTGTAATTGTGTCTGTTTTGTAACTCATTGAAAAAGTCAACTATTGGTCAACGCAGTAAAAGTTAAAAAAGGTAAAAATAACAAAATCACTTTCAAAATCTTTGTGAGAGAGTGTTGTTCGCCGGAGCCGAGACCGAAGGAGTGATGGAAGAGACTCAAACGGAAGAGCGAAAGCACCGAAAAAAAGTAGAAGAAGAAGAGGAGGAAGGTCCTCCTCCGGGATGGGAATCTGCTGTTCCTCCTCCTCCTCAGCCTCCATCTCCTCCTCCGATCGCCACCGTAAACCCCACTCCCACCACCGCCGTAATTTCCGGTATTCTAATAGCCTGTGTATTTAGGGCTGTTTAGTCAAATTTGCTCCATTTCTTGTCCAGACTGATGAAATTAGCGGTTTTGAGTAGTTTTTTAAGGCTCTTAGAGGGAACCCATCATCGATTTTGCTAGAAATTGAAGATCTTCTGCATTTTTGTTTTTGTTTTTGTTTTGGGTTGCAGAAACGGCGCAAATGGTATGTGGATCGTGCAGGCGTTTACTTTCGTATCCAAGAGGAACCAAACACGTCAAGTGCTCGTGCTGTCAGACTGTTAACCTCGTTCTTGAAGGTTCTTCTATGGCTCTTATCTCTTATTCACTAACTGTTAAAAAGGATAATCTTTGGAATGCTCTCTCACTCTCAATCTGGTTTTACTTAAGCTTTGTCAGTGATATTTCTATCTTCTTGCTGGTTTCACTTCTTTCTTCGTGATCATTTCTCAAATCCATTATTTCTATGTAAAGTTCCTGAGACTGGTGTGTAGATTTCATTCAAATGATATTGGCTACTTAGCTGAAACAAGAATATGATCTCTGGCTTGGAGTTTTTCTCTTAAGCTTATTGAACTATTTGGGGTCTCTTGTCCATCATGATTACTCCCTTATAGACCATTTTCTGTGATCTTTAATTCTTTATTCCTCTAGTCTTACTACTCTTTGGGCAATTGTGTGATCTAGATTCTAATCTTATGGTTTACTCCGATATATGACTTCTCCTTGAATTGAGTGATGGAAATACCCATCTCTTCTTATCGGTTTGGGACTTGGTCATTCTTTGTGTGCAGCTTACCAGGTTGGTCAGGTGAGTTGCAGCAATTGCAAACTGCTCCTGATGTATCCTTACGGAGCTCCATCTGTTAAATGTTCCTCCTGCAACTCTGTCACCGATATCAGAGTATGTAACCTTCCTGGTTTTGTTATTAAGTTCCTCTTGCAAGCATGTTTTTTAGATTGTTTTGTTTTGGTTTCGTCATCATGTCGACAAATCCAGCTGTCTTCTCTAATCAGTAGTGAACTGAAAATTGTTTGAAAAAAATATGCATTTCGACATCCGACTTCCGAGCTAAGTAATCTTCTGATGAATCGTTTGTTTACTATGTTAAATTTTCAGGAAAACAACAAACGACCTCCTTTGTCTGTGCAGCAAGGACCACTTAAAACTTTCAGCAAAGTCCGGTGATGTGACTAAACTTGAACCGGGTTTTGGTCAATTTTGGACCGGTTTGATTACAAAACTTGGCACAGTGATAATGATAGATGAAATCATGAAACAGATCACCATCAACAATCATTGGATCAGATACTTGTTCACTTTTCATTTACTCTTTTAACTTTATGCTTCCCCTTAGATTTACTGTTGATTGGTCTTTAAAAAAATTCTGTATTACTTTTGTGGTTTGTCTTTACATAATAGGAGTAGTTGTTAAATGTGTGCATTAAAAATTCGATTTCCGTATAGGACAGATATTATTAACACAGCTCAAATCTAAAATTTTCCTATTTTTCACATGTGAATTTAACTACTAGTTTCCTCTACTTCGGCCGAGTTTGTCAATGAAGTTCCAACAATTTGGTCATTTCAATGGCCCAAAAAAAAAAGTGGGGTCCTTTATAGAGAGACAACAAATGCTGCTGTATGGTGAACCAACTTGTCAACAAATCCAATTTAATGTGGAATCTAATTTAATCAAACCCCTAAATTTAATTCAACCTTGGACAAAAGATTACTTCATTAAGTCGTGTATACTAGTATTAGGCTATTGATTAGACCTGCATAGAGTTTGATTTAAAAGACTAAAATGATGTGGTTGGATTGAGTTAATGAGTGGGCCTTATCGATCAAGTTTTCTTTTGGTGAAATCATCAAACAGTTGCACTGAGTAAATGACTTTATTTATTACCAAACACATTACATTATAGAGTACAAAGTTGACAGATGTGGTCGTGATGACGGATAATTTGATAACTTGCGTGCCATTAGGTAATATCACGTACCACCATAATCGCCAAAACGACATAGGATTTTTCCATTTAATCAATTTACGAATAAATCTTCAAATGTTGTCTATTTGTTTTTATCTTCAAATGTTGCCTCCTGTATTTAGCAGAAAAAAAAAATATTTATTGTTTCAAAGAAAAGAAAAGTCTCAATGGTGGTAGGTCGACAAAATAGAAACAAAAATTAACAGAAGTAAAATAAAATAAAACCTCTAATTTCACCAAACAATAGACTTGAATTGAAATGGGGTTTTACCCAACTTTGGGTTTAGTTTATCCGTTAAAGTGGAAATATCTGTCAAAAGCCCACTAAGATTATAATTTTAATTTAAACAATCTGTCAATTTTAAAACACATGCTTAAATTAAATGTTGCCAACGCCCAAGTGGTGCAGATATATATATATTTGTAACAGTCTCTCAACAAGTTACGGAAGTGACAGAGATAGAGAGAGACACACAAACACAAGAGTCTATCTTGCAAAGTGCGGGCATTAAAGTGGTCTTCACACACTAAAGTCCACGCATCAGTGCCTTAACTGTATTTCATATCTTCCTCCAATTTAATGCTCATCTCTATTTATATAATTTTCAATCCTAACTTTTAATCATCTCCTCAACAAACCCACCAAACTCTCAAAAATGTTTACAAAATCATTCCTTTTAGCTTCCCTTCTCCTCATCATCTTCGTCTCTTCAACTCAATCAGCTCGTCACAAGAGCGGCAACGATGGTTCAGGCTTCGGTGTACCCGGATTTCCCGGAATACCCGGATTCGGAAACGGGTTTCCGGGTCCCGGATTCAGCGGTGGATACGGCGGAGGGTCCGGTGGTCCGAGCGGTGGATACGGGAAAGGAGGTGTGGTGAGGCCGACTGTGACTTGCAGAGAGAAGGGACCTTGTAACGGCAAGAAGCTGAGGTGTCCGGCCAAGTGTTTCAAATCTTTTAGCCGCTCAGGGAAAGGATACGGCGGTGGAGGCGGCGGAGGTGGATGCACCATGGATTGTAAGAAGAAGTGTATCGCTTATTGCTAAAGAGAAAATATAACTATCACATCTTTGTAATATATAGTCATTATGATGATTATATATTTGCTATGTTGTTGTAGCTACAGTTGATGATCATAATGATCCTTTTTTCTTGATTCGACTCTAGTAGCTTTTATATGCATGATCTATGGTTGTGATGAATAAATGAGAATAACTTTACGGTTTTCTCAGTTTGTGTTTTGTTGTATGAGAGATTCTGAGTTTTTTTGTTGTTGTGATTTGATCTTTCTTATATATAATGACACTTTGGATCGAGATTTGCAACAAATTACAAAGGAATAAAGACCATGATCATAATGATAATGATATGGCTCTTTTGAAATACATGGAGTCGATCGAAATCAATTTTTTTTTAGACAGTCTTGAGGTTTTGTTGTTAGGGCTTGATCTTGATCTTTGTCTTAACAGAGACAGGGATTGAAACATCATGAACACCATCCGTTCATGTTAAGCTTCTAAAGAAGTGACCAGTGTTGACTCTGCGACTCGTTTTAGCCGTCACCGAGAAAGTGAGCACTCTCTTAGCTGCAGAGCTAAACACGAGTGTGGTCGGGTTCACAATGAGAGTTATACCGAGAGGAGACTCGAACATGACCTTATAGACTGACTTGATGGGTCCAACATTGGTTACAGTTCTTGTGAGAGTGACTTGTTGGTCAAGATTTGGAATTGTGAATGAAGGTAAGTTGATATCAAGAATCGATGGACACTTAGTCTTTCTACCGAATTAAACTTATTGTGAGAGAGACACAATGGTTTTATTTATCACCTTGAGAATGGCTGGTGAAATAGAATCAGGCCCTCTGCTTGAGAATGCAGCAACCTTTGTAGTTACAGGCGCCAGACAGACCAGTTAATGACGTAGCCGCACTGATTCTCACAGTGGGAGATCTGTGGTTCGTCGTCGGATCAATGATGTTTGTTGAAAAAAAAGAGAGAATTGGCTTAGTAAAACAGAGTTTATTTGCTTCAGGATAGAGGACCTGGTGGTACGGATGTATTGTAAAATGTGGGTTCCAAGCTCGTAGTCAGTATAAATGCGAGGAAAAGCATAGCACTGAGAAAGATCTTCTTTGTGCATTTTTGGGCAAAGATGACTCCTGCTACACTAATGTTGCTGCAACAGTATACCAAGATCTTTCTTTCCTCTGAGATTAAGTATCAAAAACAAGAACTGTTTTTCCATTCAGATCATCAATGTTAACGTCACTAAATGGGGGCCAAGAAAGCTAAACCGGTTGAAATTTCCGGTAGTACTTAGCTCCTAAAGGAAATGGTGTTTTTTTTCCTCATTTTTACATATGTTTTGCTTATTTTTTTACATATATATTTTTTATGTGTTATATTTAATTTTGTTGATGATTGAGTTATGTGCGTCTTCTTTACTAGAATGTATTTCTTTTTTGTGTTGAGGAATAGGACCAAAGCAAATGCTAATAGAAGCAGAAGTTTGTATCCTCGTAAAGAGTTCTCCATTTTCGTTTTGTTTCAATTATATTCACTAACCACCAGTAGATTTTGCGCTATACCCACTTTATAAAGACACATCAGTTCTTAAAAAATGTTATCTTACTAGAAATGGTTGGATTTATTCACATAAATATTCTCAGTTGACTATAAGAGTTTATGTCAATCATATATATCTACAATATGGTTAGAATTCCTAACTTAGGAAACTGTTGTACCATGACTGACTCTATTAGTTAGAGATGATTATATATTGATAGAGACCTTAAAACCGAAATATCGTAGAGCAAACCTATTCCAACTTTTACATTTATGGTTAGAGTAAACTGAATCACTGAATGTGTATAAAGAACATGGAATATATGTTCAGAATTTGTTTTATTGCTTATGAACTAATACAACTAATCTAGTAATATTATAGAAAATTTTGACAAGACATCACAAAAAAAAATATTCCGTGTTGCGTTCAAATATATTCGTTGTATTTCAGTTTTAACCTTTTAGAGAAATTTTTAAATTACGAATGATATAATCGAATACATTGAAATTGAAATCTAACATAGTAGTTAAAATCTAAGATAGTGGAAACTTCAAACATAGTTTGAATTTAAGATAGTTGAATCTTGTAACATATAGTTGGAACTTAACTCAAAACGCCCCAAGGTGGGAAACGATCAAACAAATACTTTGTTAAACAAAGTAATATTCGAAATCGCCTTTGGGAATACAGGAATATTTTTGTTTTGTTAAGTCTTTTTAATTCCCTAAACAAGTTTTTAATTCAGGTAACAACATAGTACAAAAGAATCCTTGGCATTAAAAAAAAAAAAGATTTCTACTACATCTCCCTCTCTTCTCTCATATTCTCTGGAACATAACCAAACCCAAGGGAAGCTTATAATAGCTAAGCTCAGAACTTGAAATCCTTCTTGTTTTTCTTGCCATCCTTATCACGCTTTCTTTTCTTCGAATTCTGCAAGTAAACATTCCAAAAAAGGTTAAAAAGTTTAATCTCATCCCCATTCATACAATTAGTGTTAAAACAGATATACATATGAAAGTCATTTACCTCAGCCACCATGTCACTGAAGTCCTCTGGTCTATTGCGTACTTTCTCCTCTTCTCTTGCCTCCTCATACCTGGCAGGCAAAACCTCTTCCATAGCGTCCAGCTCATCTGGCTGTAAACTGATGTCCACACGATCTGTCTTTTGTCCTCTCAGCAAATCAACCTGCTCAAAATATACATACAATTTGCATCATTAGCAAACTTTTCATAACGCATATTATACCAAAGCTAGCTTCAGAAAACACTAAGCACCACATTTCTTTGCTATTAAGTAACCAAAAACACATCGATGCTTACCCTTTTAGCTCCCGTCTTGTCTTGAGTACCAGTTTTAATAACGTATGTGAATGTGGGCGCCAGTACTGCTCCAGGAGCAACACTCTCTCCCTTTGCTTCGATTACCTTCAGAATAATTAAAAATAAAAAAAGAGCAGCATTAAAGAACCAAACCAAAATTATAGTTTAACAGTGAAATATAGCTCTTAGTATCAAAATAAGAGAATATCCCAGAAGGTGGTAAACAAAGTGAAACTGCATTAGTCAAAATTACGTTTCCTACCTGATATAGAGACTTGTCGGGTTCCTTTCTCTGTTCCTTACGAAGCTCAATTGCATCTGGTGTCTCTATGCCAGTTGGAGTGCTGAGAACAAGGAAGGGCAAAAAACATTCAGTTTTCATATTTATATACTATGATAAGCAAACAAATACAAATTCACCTCATCAAATGTATACCGCTTAATGCAAAACAATACCTTGAGAGTGTATCAACTGATTCGATGCCGTCTTCTAGTTCCTCTTCATCCATCTCCTCGTCTTGTTCCTCTTCTTCCTCCTCCTCCTCTTCTTCTTCCTCTTCCTCTAAATCACCCCAGTGCTTGCTCTTATCAATAGGCTCATCCTAAGATAATGATAAAAAAAAAACAACCATCGATAACTCAATATTATATCACCAAATATTCAACAAGATGCTTCTAGTTTTGTAGTTTTTATCCCCATCTTTAATATCGCACCAACTACTCGCTTAGCAGTGCACTATATGCTATTACTACGGAGAAGAACAGAGAGAGAGATGAAAACTATTACCTCATAGTTAGGCTGATCTTGTTGCTGGACACCAAAGACATCTCCATACAATGGACGCCCAAACTATATAACACAAGCAATGAGAAGCAACCAAACAAACGTCGTTAATAAATGGCATAGAAGTTCAAATAAAAGAAGAACATCGATAGAATACTTACTTCATCAACTGGAGGTTTCCCCCAGCCACCAGGAATGTAACCAAAGCTAGCTCCAAGTGGTATAGGAGCATTCAAACCAGGAATTTTCAGATGTGGGTACGAAGGGGGAGGACCATATCTCTGTTGGAGAAGGGTATAAGGTGAGTAATTACATTAAAATCAGAGATAATTATAAAGACAATTTACAATAAACTCACCTGCATATTAATTAGCCATGGGGGAGGAGCTCCTTCAGGCATACCAAGAGCTTCTTTTAATTCATGTGACAAAGTCCCTGGTTTCATTTCCCTCAGTTTGACCTATTTCATAAATGATTGTAATAAGATTCCGGTACACAATGCAGTAACACCAAGCAATGTAAGAAACGATAAAGTTGCAAAACAGGTCACGAGTAAGTACCTCAAATTCTTTCCCTTCAAAATACAGATCCCCAAGAGATGACAGCTTTGGCTTTGTTTGGTATTTGAAGAATGCATCATGGAGGACCTGGTAGTCAATGTCCATCTTTCCCATCTTTGGTTGCATTCGCTCCCGTTGCTTTTGCTTCAACTTTTTACCATCCTCTTTCTCAATGTAAGCCTGCACAAGAACCACAGAAGAATTAGCTCTGGATGAGATATGTGCAGGCCAACAGAAGAGTAAAATCATGGGGTCCAAGACAATATACCTGTCTGATTTTCTCAATTCCGGTTGCAGCAATGAAATCAGGGAGATGAAATGGCTGCTTCTCTATACCACGCTTTCCCTGCAAAATTAAAACCTCGCTGAGATGCCAACAACTTAAGAAAGAAAGAGCAAACAATATAATAGCCTTAAACGCAAAGAAACTTGAATGAATCCTAGGAGTACTACAAAACCAGGTGCATCTAAAAGCAAGATCACTACAATGCATACGAAAACAAAAAGAAGAATTGCAGAAAGGGAAAATCCCACCCAGCTGATACATAAAACACTTTTTTTCTCAGAGAAATATCAAACGTCTCCAAAAACCTAAGCACCACAGATTTCATATAAAGACAAACAAAATTAAGAGCCCTCTCCGGTTACACCTACAATTCCAGGCTCCATGGTTATGACAAGATGTTCTCCTGCAAGAAGCACATATATAGGTATAAGGAAACTCAATTATCATGATGAGTTCTATCCCTGTTGGTATAATTCCCCTATGTACCACACCCACAAATCATAGAAACATATAGTTAACTACAGCACGATTACTTGAAATAGCACAAACCTGCAAATACTTTCTCTTCTGGGACCAGTGTCTTGGAACAGGAACTGTATTCCGATACGACTTCAAAAACACCAACAACTTCGGATCTGCTGAAGTAGCGTCCCAGACCTAAAAAAACATTTTTAAAAAAATGAACTTACGAACAAATGATAGAAAGCTACACAGCGAGATCAGAGATTTGGAAACAACAATGAAGGAAAAAAGCATCCTTACCTCAACGACATCAGGCCTAGCGGAGACCTGCTTCAGCTCAGCAATCTTCATCCTCCGTTCAAGCTGAGAAAACAGAAATTCAGGATTTTAGAAATCTATAAAAGTGTGGTACACTGAGCTTAGAACAAGAAACTAACTAGAGAATCTAAAAAATTGTGGTATAATTAGCTTTGAGATTTGACCTTTTTTTTCTTGTTAGACATGCCATTCTCTTTTTGTTGGTTATCCTGCTCCTCCGCGTCTGAATCTGAGTTATCATTCTTTTTCACAGCTTCTTTCTCCTCAGACTCATCTTTCTTATCGTCGTCCTAGTCAAGCAAAAACGGTTTCGTCAATATTTAGGCATTGATGAACTTTCTCAGCCACACTAGAGAAGGAAAGAAAAGAGTCGTATACCTCAGAGGCAACAGGTTTCCAAAAGTTGAACTTCTCAAAGATTTGCTTAGTCTCGTCGTCAACACCATCTTCAAATTCGACCTGTTCTGGAACATACTCTATCACAATCTGCTCAGAGACCTACAAGGAAACAAATATCGTCAAAGAAAATTATCAATACGAATAAAACTCCGAAAAACCAATCACAAACCCTAGAAAATCTCTAATCTCATGAATAGAGTGCGAGAAAAAAAGAGCACAAAGCTAACCTGTTGCTGCGGATCCGCGTTTTCCTTGGAATCAGAAGCACCAGAGACGTCTGCTTCTTCTACATCGGTCTGGGATGCTTTGTTGTTCTTCTTCTGCTTCCGCCTGCGACGGCGACGGTCTTTTTCACGGGATTTCTTCGAGGAAACGTTAATGTTACCGTTCGACGGATCCACGATCGGAGCGACGTTATTTTCGTGTGCGACGGTTGTTGATTCGGCGGTCATGTTGATGGAAGTCTCAGAGTTAGTGATGCGAAGAGAGAACGAGAACGGGAGAAGATGAAGGATTATATACGGACGGAGATAGGCTAACATATATCTTACGATTCTAACTTCGGGTCGGTTTGGTACAATTTGGTAAGTCTGTTCCGGTTCATGGCTGATCGATTTGATCTAGTTTGGGCCGGGGTAGCTTCTAGTAATTTTGAAGAAGTCTTAAAAGGAAGCGAATGGGCCAGCATAATTTATCAATATCTTTAGTTTAAACTTATTAGAGGTATCAAAGAGTTATAAATGTTGTGGTCTTTGTAGGTTAAAAACACGTTGTCTTGATTTTTTTTGTATTGTTTGTGAATTGTGGATTTGTTATAGTGGACTAGTTACTTATACGAGTATTAACGAGTATATTCACACTATTTCAATTATGAAACTGAGCTAGCTAACCTAAGTTCGCAGCTAAAATTCTCAAATAGACAAGTAACTCATTTTGGTTTATTTAGTGAAATTCTCACTGTTTGACCATTTTTTTTTGAATGAATTATTAATAGTGTTGAAATTTTGTTAAGGTTTTTTTATGTTTTGTCTCATTTTTTTATTTTTCATGGGACATAGGTTAATATGTTTAATTTTGTTTATTTGGGGTGAAATATAGTTTCTTTTTAATATCACTACTTCAGTACATATTCCCTTTGTTTAATATTTTTTTTTTAGCATGTGTAAAATTGTGACTTAACTAAACATTTTGAGGAACAACTTATAATTGGTAGAAAATGAATAAGTTTTATGGTTTGGATTTGGTAGAGCTACTGGTGTTGCTATATATCTAAATTTTTTTTTGAATAAAATTGATTCTATTTTTTTGTATATCTTGAAAAAGAATATTTTAAAGTTTTTACGTAATAAAAAGTTAAAATTTTTATTTCTTTTTATAAAAATAAAAATACGTAAGTAACACGCAAAAAAAAATATATATTTTAAATATTTTATGAATTAAAATTATATAACATATATCTATTATATAATGGTTATATAATATATATCTATTATATATTGATTATATAAAAATTAATATTTAAAACTATATTATTTAAATAACGTTTGGAAATTATATTACGCAAAACTAAATTAAATTAAAGTTTTGCAGTCTGGATTTAGATCTGGTATTTAGTAACGCAATTGGTATTATTATATATTTAAATATTTTTGAATATATAAAATTGTTTCCTTTTTTATAAATTTTTAAAATTTATAGTTTTAAATTTTTTATAAAAATAGAAATACGTAAGTAACACGCAAAGCAATATTTTTCAAAAATACCTATAATCGTTATTTCAAAAATGGCCTGTTAAAACTATAAATATAGAAATAAATCATTTTTTAAAAATAACGTTTTGATTCCAAAACTTTTTTTTATGAATTTTTTTCACTAATTCTTGATATATATAAATGTTTTTGTAGCGTAACAAGTAAAATTTTCTGTAAAAAAACACACATATCATGTGAATTCATTATTTTCCCCTTAAAAGAAATTAGAATGAAACATATATTTCTGCCGGTATCTGATTTTTAACGATCTGAAAGTCTGACATCGGAATCAGAAATAAGCATGTCATTACAAAACAAGTACGGTTTGTGTCGAGAACCAGAATTTGACGGATTTGAGTTTGATACGAAAACTATTTAAGGATTTATTAATTATAAAAATAGCATATAATTAAAAATAAATAAATAAAACAAATGGTTAGAAAAAAATGAAGGGACCTTCGTGATTCCTTTAAAAACCCAGTGACGAGGGTTAATGGCGTATTCACAAATCTGACCATTCGGTTATCGAGATCTAGGGTTTCTCTCTCTCGCAATATCGCCCGCTTCTGAGTTTAGAACGCAAGAAGCCACACAAAAAACCTAATTTCATCCAATAAACTTTTTCTCATCAACAACAGATTTCATCATCAGAGAAGAAGAAGAATTAGGTCTTTTTGGTTGATTCATCATCGTTACTTACAGATCTACATTCAAAGGGGACAAAATCTTAAAAACAAACACTAAAATTTCCACCCTTTTCTCTATCCATCTTATCAAAATCGTTTCCTTTTTCTTTCTTGATTTCTGCTAAACAAAAAAATTCGGATCCAATTCAAAAACTAGTGTGGATTGGCCATCAATCAATCAAGCCAAGGGACAACCAAAAAAAAGTAAAAGTTTTGTTGAATGAATTTGAGATGAGACTTTAGAAATCCATTGATCTGTTAAATTTCTGATAAGGAACTGCTTAAGAAAGGAGAAGGGATAAAGAGAAAGAAGACGGAGAAAGGCAAGTTATGATGTATAATAGTAATAGAGTAGAAGTGTACAATGAAGATAGGAGAGTTGGGGAAATGGAGATATACCCTCCAAGAGAATCACAGAAGCAGCAGCAGCAGCAAGCAGACGATGTTACGAAGCAGAGGAAGAAGAAAGTAATGGATAGAGTGAAGACCGGAATCAGAATTAGCCGTTTCTCTCAACCTAGCGAGAGATGTCCTCCTCTTGCTGTGCTCACTACAATTTCATCTTGTGGCCTTTGTTTCAAACTGGAAGCTTCTTCACCTTCTCCTGCTCAGGATTCACTCAGTCTCTTCTACTCGTCCTGTCTCAGGGACAACAAGGTATACTATACCTTACGGAACCTTTTAAGCCCTACACCAGACTTGAGATTTTATGAACTAAACTTATGAAAACTGGGATTTTTCTGTGATTTAATGTCAGAATTGCATCAAGTTTGAGGCTTTAGAAACTATACATAGTCGACTGAATGATCTTATTTTTCAGCTTAACGGGATTGGATGTGAGCAATGTGACAAATTATCCTCATATTTGTGATTTTTGGCTTTCTTGCAGACAGCAGTAATGCTCCTGGGTGAGGAAGAGCTCCATTTAGTTGCCATGTACTCTGAAAACATCAACAATGGCCGTCCTTGTTTCTGGGCGTTTACTGTTGCTCCTGGGATTTACGACTCCTGTCTAGTCATGCTCAACCTTAGATGTCTTGGGATTGTCTTTGACCTCGATGAAACCCTCGTAGTGGCGAATACCATGCGCTCATTTGAGGATAGGATTGAGGTGTTGCAGCGGAGGATAAACAACGAGAACGACCCTCAGCGCATTTCCATAATGGTGGCTGAGATGAAGCGTTATCAGGATGACAAACTTCTTTTGAAGCAATATGTTGAAAGTGATCAGGTTATTGAGAACGGGGAGGTGATTAAGGTGCAATCTGAACTTGTTCCTCCCTTGTCTGACAACCATCAGCCTCTTGCTCGTCCCCTGATAAGGTTGCAAGAGAAGAACATTATCCTGACTCGCATTAATCCAATGGTATGCAACTCTTGAAATTAGTATATGTCTGTTAGTAACTGTTCCTGGTATACGTATATGCTTGGTGCTTACTATTAATTAGATAAGAGTGGAAAATAGTATTTCATTTTTATTTGTTCGTTCCTTCGTGAGCACCTAGATCGTTCTTAATTCCTGTGTCTGAGACTCAATTCCTATCTTTGCACACAGATTCGTGATACAAGTGTTCTTGTGAGGCTGAGGCCTTCATGGGAGGAGCTTCGAAGCTACTTGACAGCAAAAGGGCGCAAGCGTTTTGAAGTATATGTTTGCACGATGGCTGAAAGAGATTACGCCTTAGAGATGTGGAGGCTCCTTGATCCAGAAGGGAATTTGATAAGCCCAAATGATTTGCTGGCTCGCATAGTTTGTGTGAAACCTGGTACATCTTATTTAAAAAAAAACTTATACCTGCTTATTTTTCATCATGGTATCATAACTTACAAGCTTGTGATTAACCACCACAGGTTTGAAAAAATCACTGTTCAATGTGTTTCTCGATGCAACCTGCCATCCGAAGATGGCACTGGTAATTGACGATCGACTCAAAGTGTGGGAAGAGAAAGATCAGCCGAGGGTGCATGTGGTTCCTGCATTTGCTCCCTATTATTCTCCCCAAGCTGAAGTAAGTATACTTTTTACTTTGGTTGAAACTAGTTATGAAAATTGCAGAAGCATTTGAATCTGATAAGAATACATTTGTATTCAAAGAATGCGACATTGTTAGAACTTAGAAGGAAACAAATCCATGCCTTTTAAGACCTAAAGCGCGCCTTAAACCATAAGCTAGCTTTTGTGGTGACTAGGGTCTTTGTGGGCTTGGTTTGGGCCCAATTCCTATCAGAAGCCATAGTCTTGAATCTTTTAAGTGAACGGTCTTACATGTAGCTCATTTCCTTTCATGTAGGCTGCTGCAACACCGGTACTGTGTGTGGCCAGAAATGTTGCTTGCGGTGTCAGAGGTGGATTTTTTAGGTAAGATATAAATTTTGATAATTGACTTTTGTTTCCTTGACATCTATAGTAGATCAAAGGTGTTTGCTTCGTATATTCTGACGGTGAAATGGTGTTTGAACTTGGTAACAGGGATTTCGATGATAGTCTGCTACAAAGGATTGCTGAAATGTCTTATGAGAATGATGTTGATGATATTCCTTCTCCGCCTGATGTCAGCCATTACTTGGCACCGGAGGTTAGTCGTGATTCTTGTTAATGATACCTAATGTCGTTTCTGTGCTACCATATAGATTTTACTCTCTCCAAATGGCTTCCCTTAGCTCATTCTCTTTTCAATATAGGACGAAACATCGGGTTCAAATGGGAACAAAGATCCGCTTCCTTTCGACGGGATGGCTGATGCTGAAGTGGAGAGAAGACTGAAGGTGATTACATTTTTAGGCTCGATTGTAACAAAGTTACTGTGGTGATCCATTAAGGATACCAAAAACACGTCTTCAAGTTCAATGTTTTCTGTTCAAAGATGAGAATTAAATAGATTTTCCCTTTATTCAGGAGGCAATTTCTGGATCTTCAGTTGTCCTTCCGGCAGCAAATGTAGATCCAAGGATAGCTGCTCCCGTTCAGTACTCCATGGCCTCTGCTTCTTCTGTTTCAGTTCCAGCACCGGTACCAGTCGTGCAACAAGCACCACAACCATCAGCTATGGCCTTTTCAAGTATTCAGTTTCAGCAACCGACATCAGTAGCTAAACACTTGGTTCCTTCAGAACCAAGCTTGCAGAGTTCTCCTGCTAGAGAGGAGGGTGAGGTACCTGAATCAGAGTTGGATCCAGATACTAGGAGGAGGCTCCTCATATTGCAGCATGGACAAGATACTAGAGATCCTGCTCCAAGTGAACCTCCATTTCCTCAGAGACCTCCAGTTCAAGCTCCACCTCCACATGTGCAGCCAAGAAATGGTTGGTTTCCTGTTGAGGAGGAGATAGATCCAGCTCCTCTTTGCCGAACAGTTTCCAAAGAATATCCGGTGGATTCTGAAATGATACATATGGAAAAACACAGGCCTCGCCATCCATCCTTTTTTTCTAAGATTGATAACTCAACTCAATCTGAGAGGATGCCTCATGAGAATCGCAGGCTGCCCAAGGAGGTATCACTAATCTTACTTGACCAATGATTTTTTAACCGTCAATTTTGTTGGTACTGCTACATTATGCTGTATAGTACTCATTATCATGTATCTGCAGTCGCTCCGGAGAGATGAACAGTTACGGTCAAACAACAATCTACCAGGCTCTCATCCTTTTTATGGTAAGCCATCAAAGTTGTTTCTTCTTGTATCATATGGTTCCGAAGATAAATTACTGACTTGAACTCTGTAGGGGAGGAGGCATCTTGGAATCAATCTTCTTCTAGGAACAGTGATGTTGACTTCATACCTGGACGAAGTATCCCAGCAACAGAGAATCCAGCTGAAGTTCTACATGAGATTGCTATCAAATGTGGAACGAAGGTGTGTGGACGTCATCATGATGACCATTAATTCCATTTGCGAGTTGATTTATATATATATATTCCATGACATTGTAGGTGGAGTACAAATCGGGCTTGGTGGCTAGTACAGATTTGCGGTTCTCTGTTGAGGTACTTGTAGCTTTCAAACTTCCATCTGTTTGCAGTTACTAAGAATGCGCTCTTGGATATTGTATGCTCTGAGTAATTTGGTAGACTTTATACTGTGCCACATTTTTGAGATTCTCTCTCCCCTTGGAAGAGTTACTTTTGCTGATTGTGTCAACCGTACTAATCTATGTTTTTCTTTGCAGAGTTGGTTATCTGGTGAAAAAATTGGAGAAGGGATTGGAAAAACGAGACGAGAAGCCCTGCACAAGGCTGCTGAAGTTTCTCTCAAGAACTTAGCTGGTAAGACGTTCTGACTTATGATTTACTCGTGTTTCAATATCAGAGATACTGTTTGAGATATTTTTTGAACCTCAAGGTGGATGTTTGTCTGTGTGACGTTGTTAAACACACCTTCACATTATTGTAGCCATTCTAGGGTGTTGTAAATCTCAATCTTCGACCAATCTGTATTTTGCAATAGAACCTCAACAACTCATAAAAGTGGGCATTGCTTTTAATAGACCGATCGTTGCTTCCTGTTAGTCCTCGTAAGTGCCACCACATATGGTTATGTGTCGGTGTGTTATGATATCACATCAACAGATGGTGTTTGAAGTTAATTGTATTACAAAACTGTGGGTCCCTTCCCCTTCTAAGGATTTATTGGCAGTTGGCTTAGGTTCAATATTCGCTGGATTCGTTCACATTGTTGCTTTATCCGTGGATTTGTCTTCTTGCTTGTTTCCAGTTTCTTGAGTTTTTTTTACTTCTCTTCCGCAGGTTATTATACGTCCCGTGCAAATGGTGAACCAGGACCAAGCCACAGGGATGCTAGCCCCTTCACCAATGGAAATATGATTGTGGGAAATGCAAACAGGCTTGATAATCAGCCATTTGGCAGAGATGAAACAGCGATGCCGGTTCCTTCAAGACCTACAGATCCGAGATTGGAAGGCTCTATGAGGCACACCGGCTCCATTACTGCGCTCAGGGAATTGGTATGTGTCTCCTTAATCTTGATAATGTTGCTTGCTCACATGCGCATATCATTTGTTCTCATCTTTAATATCTCTTCTTAACCACATTCCAGTGTGCATCGGAGGGTTTTGAGGTGGCTTTTCAAAATCAGCGTCCACATCCATCTGACATGGTCCACAGGGAAGAACTACATGCTCAGGTTAATTTCATAAGTGTTTAATTTTTTCGAAATGATTGATAGAAATATTTCAATTCTGGATAGCATCCATCCTGAAAGAAAAAAGATTCATGACGTGCATCTTCACGGCTCCTCTTGATTCTCTTTGTACTGTGTTTCAGGTTGAAATCGATGGTCGTGTTTTAGGGGAAGGAGTTGGATCCACATGGGACGAAGCTAGAATGCAGGTAAACCCAACTAAGACCTTGCCTCCGGTTTTTATTCTGATCCCATTTTTACCTTTGTCTGATGTTCTTTAATCTTTTTACCCTTTAGGCTGCTGAGAGAGCACTATGTAGTGTGAGATCAATGCTTCCTTTGCATAAACGACAAGGATCTCCACGGTTTGTTTTTTTTTTTTTTTTTTATCTTTGATTATCGAAATAGATTTGTAATATACATATTATCATAACCTGTCTTTTTCTCGTGTTGATGTTTAGATCGTTCGCTGGGATGCCAAACAAGCGTATGAAGCCAGACTTTCAACGGTCGATGCAACGGATGCCATCTTCAGGAAGATACTCTTAACGAAAATCATATGAAGAACAGAACATAGTTTCATTGTCGTCGTTCCCTAAAAACAGCTACCAAAGACAAATTCTTTGACAAGTTCCCTTCTTCCCCAAACGATGAACCAGACAGAGAGAGCGAGAGAGAGAGAGAAAGAGATTCTGCTCGTCTCTGTAATTGTTACATGTGTGTGGGCAAATCATGATTTTTGTATTATCTGTGAAACTCCGAGTCGAAGCAATAGCTCGAGGGACACCGAGTGCCAGACAGATAACACCTTAGCATGCACATTTGGCTTCTTCTCATGCTGTAAGTTTTACTCAGTAGAAGTCCGTACAGTTAGTTTGATATCTTGATTTTGTTACTGTAATTTTTGTTGTGCTATTAACCGTTTGGGCTTTTGATTGATTCAAAAGTTTATCACATGACTAGCCAACCTATTATATGAGGAAAAAGTTACAATAAATATGAGTGGAATCATCAAACTTTATTTGAAAACATTAACAATTGTACAAAACTTTGCACAAAGAGTAGCCCAAAAGAAAACCACAAGCTCAGCTTTGGACACTGATTGTCCAGAGCTTCACAGCAAAAAAACCCGAAAACTTTTTGCCTCTTAACTTAGACTTCCTCTTCTGACACGGACTCAGAGAAACTTGCTTCAGACTTGATATACTTGTACCATTTCGCACAAACCAGATAAACCACGAAATCAGCTGCGGTTAGACCAGCTAAAAGGAAGTAGAATCTGTCTAAGTGTCCCTTGTTGAGATTCCCAGGGATCCAGCCAGGCAAATCATCTCTTGTAGAGATCTTCATGACAATGGTAACTAGCAAACTGCTTACGTAGTTCCCAAGCGATATCGAAGCCATACATAGCGCGCTTGCAAAGCTTTTTAACCCTGTTGGAGCTTGGCTGTTGAAGAACTCGAGCTGACCAACGTACATGAACACCTCTGATGCACCTATCATCATGTACTGAGGTACTTGCCAGAATATGCTCAGTGAGCTCGAGTTCGAAACTGACTCCCTGTGTTTCAGTCTGTATATCTCTACGATTCCCGCTGATATCATCGCCATTACTGCAATCACGAGGCCAATCCCCATTCTCTGAAGCTCAGTGAGGCCTTTGTTGGGCTCTGTCTTGTTAATTCTGGCAAAGAGCGGGTCGAGAAACCGCCTGTAAGCGAAGATGCAGAAGGCGACGCTGAGAATGTCGAAACTCGACATGCTTGAAGCTGGGATCCGGAAGTCTTTGATGTTTGTCTTCATGGCCGCACCTTGCTCAACGAACAGTGACGCCATCTGAGTGAAAACTACAGAGTAGAGAATGGTGCAGAGCCAGATTGGTATAAGTCTCAGCACACATTTTACTTCTTCAACTTGAGTCACTGAGCAGAGCCTCCATGGATCGTAAGTCGATCCACTCTCTACCTTCTCTGCCTCATCATCAGCCGTAACAATCGCAGCTCTATCCAAGAATCTGCAATAGACAAGAAGAAGAGAGTTAAAAAAGGCTGATCTTGAAGATAGTTTCAGAGATTATAACAAAATCTTGTAAAGCAAGTATCTACCTGAAGCCTTTGGTATGAAGAATCTTCTTATCTCCAGTTCGTTGAGTCTCGGAATCATAGAGATTCAAGTCCTCGTAGTTCACATCAACCTTGGATTTTCTTGTTGCAGCAACCAAGACTTGACAGAATCTAGACCAAGGACTCTCTCTAGGCGTAAAGTGTCTATACTTTGGCGTGCCAGTCAAGAAAAGTACTAAACCTGCAAAAGCAGAGCCTGCGGATGCCCAAAACCCTAGCGGCCATTGCCCTTGATCCTCGAAATAACCCAAAACGGTATTCGAAAAGAGCGATCCGAGATTCAGAGCTAAGTAGAAGTAACTGAAAAACGCGATTTTGGAGTGTCCTTCAACAGAGTCATCTGCATCAAACTGATCAGCTCCAAAGGTAGCTATGTTTGGCTGATAACCTCCATACCCTAACGCGATCAGATACACCGATAGATAAAACAGCACCGTCTTGACCGTCGAGTGAGGCTTACACGGCGATTCTTCAACTCCACAACCACTTGGTTCGAGTAAGAGCGCACCAGTAGATAAAGATAACATCACCAATCCCTACAACACCAATGAAACAATATTAACTTTTGGGTCAAGAAACAAGCCCTAAAAAAAAACAGAGTAGTGTGTTGAAGTGGACTTACAGCAACGAAACTTGCTTGAAAGATTGCACAAGTCTTGTAACGTCCCCAATAAGAGTCACTGAGGAAAGCACCGAGCAAAGAGAAGATATAAACAGTTCCTGTCCATTTACTGACATTATTGGCAGCTTCTGCATTGTCTTGTCCCATCACTCTCGTCAGAAACAGAACCAGATTCACTCCTACACCGAAGAACGCAAGCGTCGCTAGCCCTTGATTCACTATATTGATACAAAAAAAAACAAACTCTCTTTAGAATCTCAAACACAACACTTGAAGACAAAAGAAGAGTGTATACGTGTATGTGTGTATATGGATTTTACCTAGAATAAGAATAGCAGTGAGCCATTTGCCGGTTTTTGCTCGGATTGCTGGGTTTCCGTGTCGATCAACGCTTCCGTCTTGAGTGCAAACCTCAAGCTGTCTTACTTTTTGATCCATAGATTTATAGATTTCGTGTGCGGATGTTCAAAAAGATTCCTTATCTTGAACTTAAAGATTTGATTTGCAAACAGAGTTCGGTTACGAGTAGAGAGCAGGATGAAGAAGAAAGAAGCAATTTTTTGAATCAAAAGGAGGAGACGAAACGAACGAAATACAGGAATCAAGGAAAGTGAAGAAGAGAAAGGCAAGTGAAAGAGGAGAGTTTTTTATTTGAGGTTTTTAGTTGCGATAAAAGTGTGAAGGAGAGAGGTTTTATTTATAGAGAGCTCCGAAATTGAGTCAGAAGAGATCCTTTCTTTGACGTCTCTTTCTTTCTCTGGTTTTGTAAATTTAATTCTTCTTCAAAAATATTAAAACCGGCTGCTAAAGATATATGTTTAGTGGATTTCCTCAACAGAATTTCAAATGTGTTATAATTAAGGTATTTTTATATGAATGTAATTTGTTAAGAGAAAAATCCCAATGATAATAATATGGAAATCGATTTTTTAAAATAAATTTCACGTGAGAACTATTTTATCTACTTATAAGAAAAATCACAAACACCGCTAATATATAACAATAATAAAATAGTATGAAATTGAAACGTCCAAAATATAAGTGAAAATATTTATTCTAAAAAATATAAATATAGAAAGAAAGAAAAACACCTGGTTAAAGGTAAGCCAAGCTAATGTGTGCCAAGTTACACCTGGAGGGCTGCTGGAAGAGACTGAAAAAACCTAAAAACGTGAGGAAAAAATTAAGTAAAAATTTATATAACAAGAACTAAAAATAAAACTTGATAAAAAAAACAAGTGGGGAAGAAAGTGAAAGTAAGTTTGTTCCCCATTAAACCAGGATTTGGTGTCTCTTTCAAGCACGCAACGCTCGTGCGTAGCTGTCTCTGATTGCGACCTTTCTTACTCCTTCACTTCTACTTTTTAACCTTCCTTAATTGGTCATTCTTAAAGCGTTAATCTCTAAGTCCAATAATTTGAGACGTTTTATTTCCTATTTGTTGTGTTAGATGTGTTTTCTCATGTCTCAGACTCTTTTTTTTTTGTTTTGTTAAAGGGTTTCAAACTCTCACATTATATGTTCATCTTTCAAAAACTTAGATTTTATTGCATATTTATTTAGATAGATAAACACAAACGCGTTTGGTATTAGTAATCAAAAGTTTAAAGACCAATTCAGTAATTTGTCGATAAGTTGATATATCCCAATATAATCTACTATATGTACGCAAACATAGTGTCTAGATTCATTGATGCTCCAAAAGATTTCCAAAATTTTAATGTCAAATTATATCTAAAGCGAAACCTATAACTCTATTTAAATTAATACATTTTGTGTTTATAATATTTAAATTATCACGTGATATATCAAAGATTTTACATTGTAATGGCTAAAAATATTACCCGTAGAAGAAAAAAAAAATATACATATGTTCTAACGATGTCTTAAAACTCTGTTTTCAACGACCAAAACGATACGTCTTACTAAATTAACTAACCATTATAAAACTATCACGTATATTGGTTAAGAACAAAATTACATGTAAATATACTTAGTGTAGAAAAATATCAGTTTAGAAAAGATATACCTTAATTTAGAGTTTCATGGATCGGTTGTTGAAGTGTCGATATCGGTTGATTAATTAAAATCTACTTTGCCCACAAAAACTTACTAAGCAATAAGAAACTAATTAGAAAGGTCTTTATATATATGATTTGCACAATTCAACACCTTCTTTTAAGAGTTACTATAAATTCCTAATTCCCAAAGGATTAGGAGTTTTCCTCTCTTTTTTGTGTTTTGACCATTTTATTTAATTTGCTAATTAAGTGTATTTTCTTCTAGACTTCAACCTCTGCAGTTTGATGAACTCCTCTTCTTGCTAGACCTTTGTTAAGTCTATTTAATCGCTCGATTACTTAGTTCATTAAAAAGAAACAAATCTCTCTAATGCTGTAACATTATTTTGGGAGGTGTTTTTAGCTTAATTATGTAAATCATCACGTTAAGTATGTGGTGCATGTGTATACACTATCTTGAAGGCGTAAAGATTGCCGTCTGTTGGACGAAAGTTTTGGACTATATAACCTATTGATTTTATTTTTTTAGATATATATATATATATATTTTTTTTAAAAAAAAAATTAAAAGTGTATAACTAGTGATAATGCGATGGAGCAAACTGATCTAATCATACCCTGGTTTTACTGTTTAATTTTTTTTTTGTTATGTATATAACGATAATTATCTTAAAGAACGCTACAGATTTACGTTTGCATACACAAACCAATACTACTCGTAAAATTTATGTCCACCACAACATCTTTTAATATAATTATTAAAATATTACAACACAAAAATTT